AAAAAAAAAAGTATTTTTCCATGAAAAACTTGGAACCAAGGCTTACTCTCCCGCTTCTATACCTTTCAAGCAATTTCATCCGATATGCGCAAGACACAGTCCTTTTAGAAAGATCTCGGTCACCGAATTAATTACTTAATTGCTTAAAAACTCAAAGGAGGAAACAAAATTCATTTAGCAAAAGGGACAGATTTAATTACTCAATTTAAAACCACCGTCTCGGCCCTATACGCAAAATATGGCTAGGAACATGTAATCGTTGCCTTGTTATGCTTTACAAGAACCTGATTTGGGAATGAATGATATGGACATATAAACAAATGTAATAGGACAATTTACATAAAAATAATCTTTCGCCAGAATGCGGCAAAAAAAAAAAGAAATCCATCGATGGGACAGACGGATTTCGATGGGACAGAAGATGCAGGGAGAATCGCAATATCGCGCGTTGCTCTGTTCCACAAAATTATATACAATCAGTTCGATGATATACAAAATTTCACTTATCGACCCGAGAAAAGGATAAAAAAAAAGACAAATTTTGACGTACAAAATATTAGAACAACAGCTCGCTGGTCATAAGTCGCAGCTAATTTAATATCAATAATATTGACAGAGAGACTCTAAATCAATGCCAAAACTGCTGCAGCACCGAATATTATCCAAAAAGTTGGTGTGGATGAGGTGATACCACAGTAACAACTTCAGGGATAGGGATTTTCGACCTAAATATCACGTGTTCTGATGGAAATATTGAAGAGCAAGCTGCTTTTCATCCCTCTGATAAAAAAGTTTTATGAGATGCTGCCTATTTCGTTCTAGAGAAAGGCTTCCGCACGGAAGGCCGAATGCGCGACACAAATAATTCAAGTAGAAAATTTGGGATGAAAATTTTAACCACACCACTCAATTATCAAAATAATTCGTTTTTTACTCAAAAGAGGAATTTGGCAGCTAGCAGTTTTGTAATTGAAATTTAAAAATAAACGCAAATAATTGCTACAAAGAGAGGGAGGAAGAGAGACGCACGCATTGCGGCGACTGGTCACTCGCCATCCTCTAAACAACTGGAATCCAGTAGGAAGCATTCGGCGGCAAGTACAGCAACGTCTGGCGAGGTGTATGGCCACAAAAGCCACCGGCACAACTCTGCTGATAATACATGTTGACCGATAACTGATAAGCCAACCTGTCCACCATGGCCAGTGTCTGCCGTCGTTCATGGGACATTAGGCATACAGTACTCTCGCTGATAACCCGATACAGCAACAACAGATAATCATACTTCGCCTGAAAAGCTTTCTGGACGTCCTGATGAGACAGTTGGGAGTGCTGTGAGGGAGGAATATTGAGAATAACCTCAAAAAATGCTGTTTCTTGCGTTCACATGCTGCGGAGTGATCATAGTGCAGGGGTCGAATAAAGCGGAGAGAAAAACGAGAGTATTTGTCATTTAAGTTGTACATCACTCTTTGAAATCTTGGTTGGAACTATCGCGCATAAGTGTTAGTAAGTTGCACAGATGAGGGATAGAATAGAACGTTTCGGATATTATTAACAAAGGGAGTTGATTGTGTTGGCCACGCACCAAGACTGCCGTGTGACCATACGTTTTTGCTTCAAACAAGAAACTGTCAGATGGCCAACAGCGTGAATAGCTGCCGCTTTACAATTTAACACGCGGATCAACGTTGGCCAGGACTTTTTTTGCATTCAAAGGGCTTTTTTTGCGTTCAAGGGGTAAAGGGCATCCATCGAGAGGGACGGTATATGGCTTTGCATTCAGTCTTTTTTGCAGGAACTCGTTTCGGATAGAGCTTGGAGCCGAGTACTCTGTTTGCGAGTAGATAAAATTTGAGGTAAACTTTTAATTAAAAATAGCTGCAAGGGATGGTGATGAAAAAACTGTTGATGACGTCAATGATATTATTGAATTTTCTTTGAAAAAACCATTCAGAGTATCCGGAAAAGTTACTGCTCCTTGGAAACCATGCGTCACAATTTCATGCAAATTGCGTGCAATGTAAGAAGCAAGTTTTTTTCCCGTTTTTTAAATTTGAAGAAAAAAGGAAACTGACCTGATCCTCTGTGCCGAAGTGGTTGTCCAGATAGGCGCGCAGCTTCACTTCCTGGCTACTGATATCCGGAAAGTCAATGAAAAAACGTGAACACATATACCGTTCCAGTAAACGGCATTTGTTTGGCCTGGCCGCTTTGTAACCGCGCGTTAACAAATGGCAATACTTCAGCAGGCCTCCACCACGGATCTCTTCCGGCCTTCGCGTATCAATCAGTCGTTCGTTCAAATGTTGCAGCGCCTTAAAACACATGGTGAGTCATTCCTGTAATCCGAGGCGAAGATGGCTTGCAGCGATCTTCAGACAAGAGAGCTAAGCTAACGCAAAACTGCTTATATAGCAGCAATTAAACTAACATTTCTGCAGACTGATACAGTACAAGCTTCCTCTTTTATTGCACTTTTTCCAAATAAAATGTTAATTTTCTGATTTTTGACTTTTAAAAAATCTCCTTTTTTGAAAAT